CCCCCCGCACTCCCGTCTTGATGAATATGTCTTCCGCATGCTATATTAGAACATAACACAGTTGAACTCGTAACGTGTTTTTAACCTCATCCGAGTTCAAAACAGCTTCCCAGTCTAAAAGAAGACGTTAGTACTTTTCATCTCATAACGAGTTTATAGACCGCCACCCGTGTTATTGAGATATTGCATACCACGTTGGTGGTTTGCATGATGCCAATCCACAAAGCCAAAATAGCGCTCGTCGATATCTCCGACGAGAAAAAGACAAACCATCATATTTGCAACCTTCGTCCCAACACATTCGGTGGCTGAACTATCGAATTGGTGCACGCCTACTTCCAATGACAGGCATATATCTCGAACTTTCGGAGAAAACGAGTAACGATTAGAAGTTCTAATAAAAAATGCCTCTTTTTAGCGACTGAGTATATGACGACCATTCACTTGGTATCGAGTGAATGTTTCTTCCGTATAACAACTTTAATATCTACAAGAATCACTTGGCAAAGTGGGAATGCTCCATATTCTGTCCAATTTCTCGTTTCACACCACTTCGTAAAGATCATGTTTTACTTCACTGTTTGTAAGAAAATGAATATACAAAAACAACAAAAACCGATAAAAACCTAAAAGAGATTCGCTAAAAGTGAGGGTTTTTTTAGTTATTGAGATATTGCATACCACGTTGGTGGTTTGCATGATTCCAATCCACAAAACCAAAATAAAGCATAGAAATTCAACATGAATAAAAACAATAGATTAATGTGTTTAATCCATTTTGCTTCTCTGAGGACTTGCCGAGCTTGCTCAGGTTTGTTATGTGGACCAACTAACCGATATTGAGCATTCATCATTGGTCCACACATACATTTGATCCATATGTAGGGCTCAGTAAAAAACAATTTGATCATATTGGGTCGACATCCAATTGAACGAGATATATCATCTGAATAGGCAACATGATCGACCAATGTTACAATACGATCTGTTCGATAGGGTGTAAACTGGGATTCTAAATAGTCGACGTATTGTTTACATTGTCTTACGATTGTCTCTTTATCGGGTAATTTGACTTTGTTTGAACACAATAATGCACACCATCTTGCTTGCATTTCGGACAAGGGTGGTATAGCACCGAATGCTGGACGAACAAAGCCGACAAAAAACAATTCTGACCCAGTATCTGGGTGTATACAGTGTTTATATAGATCATGGGATATGCGAGCCTCTTTGCCAACTTTGCAGACAATCTTAGCATGGGTCGGATCCGCTTCCTTATCAACTGTGTCTAAAAACTGGAATTCATTTCGAAATCCAGTACAACACACAATTAAATCAACTACTTCTTCACTACCATCATCGAATATAACCTTTTTCTCGGTTAGTTCCCGAATACCTGGTTTACGTTCACATCTATGATGAACAATGGCTTCGACTAAATTGGCATTCTTTGTACCGTATGTTGATATCATGTTACTGGTTTTGATTTGTTTCAAATTCATTTTTATCAATGTTTTAGCAACTTTTTGATCAATTCCAGTATATAGACTGTAAATATGAGCTTTGAAATACATCAGTAATAGAAAGACGTA